TGCTGGATTGATTTCTTGTGGTCCCTTAAAATTTTGAAGCAATTTTTCTTTTCCTGGTCACTAATTGCAATCTTATCCTCTATATCTGAAATTCTGTCCTCACATTGGCTCATTCTGCTGTGTAGACTTTCAGTGGAGTTTTTAATCTCCTGGAAATCTGTTTGCATCTGTCTTATGGATTCCATTTGTTTCCTATGTTGGGATTCCATCATGTTCCTCAGCTCCTGTCTAGATTTATCAATCATGTCTTTCACTATGAGCACAATCTCTGCTGTTATCTCAGAAATTATTTCTGATTTCATTTTTTCCAGATTCTCTTTTTTTGCCAGTTCAGGGAGTCCAGGTGGTTAAGCTTTAGAGTGTTCCATCTCATTTCCCTTTGGGGTTGCTGTAGGTGATCTGGATGTCTGGTTTTGAGACTCATTTACTTATCTTCTCATTTCAAGGGGAAGGGTGCTGTTAGAACCCACGTGGCTCACCTCCTCTGTGCTGGGAGCAGTGGAATGGTGGTCCGTCAGCCCCTTCCTCTGGTCTGGGAATGGTGGAATGGCAACCAGGAGGCCCCTTCCTCTGGGCTGGGAGAGGTGGAACGGTGGCCCAGAGGCCCCTCCCTCTGCACTGGGAGTGGTGGAAAGGTGGCCGGGAGGCCCCTTCCTCTGCAATGAGAGTGGTAGAATGGCAGCCCGGAGGCCCCTTCCTCTGGACTAGGAGCAGTGGTACGGTGGCCTGGAGGCCCCTTCCTCTGTGCTGAGAGAGGTGGAATGGCAGCCCAAAGGTCCCTTCCTCTGGGCTGGGAGTGGTGGAACGGTGGCCAGAGGCCCCTTCCTCTGCACTGAGAGTGGTAGAATGGCAGCCTGGAGGCCCCTCCTTCTGGACTGGGAGCCTTGGAATGGTGCCCCAGAGGCCCCTACCTCTGCGCTGGGAGCGGTGGCCGGAGGCCCATTCTTCTAGGCTGGGACCTGTGGAACAGCAGCCCGCAGGACCCTACCTCTGCACTGGGAGTGGTGGAATGGCCTGAGGTCACATGTTTATAATGAGTGAGGTTGGCTTACAGGTGCACTAGGATGTTATATGTTCTACTCTATGTATGTTTGAAACCTCACATAATAAAAAAATGTTTCCTTAAAAAAGAAAAGAGAAACAAGAACTATTCCTATGTTCCTAGTTCTAATTCATTCAGGTCTCTAATCTGGTCAAAGTTGAATATCCTCTAGTGGAAGGTTCATTTTTGTCTTACTGGAAATTGAATTCAATACCTTCATACTGAGCTACATCCCCAGACATTTTTATTTTTTTATTTTGAGATAAGGTCTTGCTAAGTCACTGAGTTGCCCAGGCTGGGCTCAAACTTGTGATCCTCCTGTTTCAGCCTCTCTGACAGCTAGGGAAATTTCTTTTAAAGCACTCCCAAGAAAAAAATAATAATAACAATAATGATAAGATATATAAGTTACTAAGCACCTAAAGTTTTCTATGTTTACATGCCCTGTCACTTGTTCTTATAATAATTAGACCAAGTCAGCCCGGTGTTCATATTGCCTCATCTATTTTAAGAGAAATTTTTGTGATGAAGCTATTATCTGATTTTTTTTCAGTTTTGGTACAGTAAGGCCTACAGAAGTCAGATAGTTTAAGCCATTTGTTTGACCTTGAGGACTTCAGCTATTTCAACTATGTCTGTGTACCTAGGGCTGTAGGAGTAGGAGATCTAAGACCAAAGGTGAAATTTTTCCCCAAATATTTGTACTTTCTGTTGCTCCACTAACTCTAGGTCAACTGAACAAGGTTATAATGTTTTTTAATCACTCCTAATAGTATGCATATTACTATATAGTGACATATATAAAACATAAACCTTTTTAAGGACAGATCCCTAAGAATTGGCATATTATTTCCACATTTCAAAGACTTTCTTGAGAACTTCTAATGGCTCAGGATAAGTGAGATAATATCATACTTACTGCAAAAAATGTGCTTCTATCTGTCTGAATGTGTTCTGTAGAATTAAATGTTCCAAGTAACCCATTGCTGATAATATCAATGAGGACAGGAAAACAATTTAGCCTCTTAGTATTACAGGCTATTGAAAATCTGTGATCCTAAAATAAAATGAATATTTTTAAGTTAGCAAAAAGCAAAGAGAAATTTAATGAATGAATATGATAGAAAAGCATCCAGGTTACTGACAAATAGTAAAGGCAAAGTACAAATGTGATTAATATCATCAGGCCCAATATTATCTGACTGATTTCCAGTACACTTAAAATAATCCAGGGACTTTGGTTTTTACCTACCATAACATCAGCCATGTGGCTATTCATGCCTAAGATATCACAAAACAGTGTACCTCAAATGAATTGTAGCAGTTTTATAAATAATATGGGGATACTCAGGAAGCAGGAGACAGGTAAGCAGTTATAAAGAAAGCTTATGTTTTCACAAATACTAAGCTTATGTGTAAAAGCTGTTTTAAAATGACATAACCTTTATAGATACATATGCAGGTAGATACACATGTGCCTATTTCTCCCTCATGAAAAAAATAAGTAAATTATCTACATTGCTGAAAATATGAGCAAGCATCAATAATGCATTTTTGCAAACATAAATAAATCAAATATATTGTATCTAACACAATTACCCAAAGCAATGCTCTTAAAATACTATTTTTCTGGTCATATTGGAAACTAACTCAACTGGGACCTACTGAGGACTAGTTTGAGCAAACATAATTTCTTAGTTTATTTTTGACATGGAAATGTTTTCCTAAAAATTAACTTTAATGACCTACAAATGATCAAATGGTAATTTATCCATTTAAAATAATTGTCTCATCTTTTCTATTAGTCTACTTTTGTGCACTGTAACTCAAATTGCTACAGAATCTAGGCAAGTGACACATAAGAGTGAAGCAGTGTAGAGATACACCAAACTGCAGAGTATAGGCCAAGGTTAAATTGGGCAGTTGTTCTCATTCCAACTGAGAGTAAGATTTAAATTAATTATTGGAATGGAATCCTATTATATAATTAAATAAATTACCAACTGCAACACACAGTTATTGTATACTGTTACCCTGGAGGCTGCAGGCAAATTATTGTAGCCCAGCTTCTCCTCTATTTTTGTCCAAATGGCCTTTTATGTCAGTTGATTTGAATAATTCAAATTGTCCATTCATGATACATCTTTGGTGAACTGCAGCAGAGTCCAACATACCTCTTTATCCCTTGACACTGTGATGGCTCCATTGTAAGACAGCTCCTCTGTGCCATTTCTAATTCCAAAGGCATCCACTTCCAACGCTATGTTCTGTCGCCCCAGTGCTTGTATAAAGTTATCAATGCTGGATCCTACAATGAGGGGAAAGATCAAAGAAAGCAAAAATGGAACAAAACGACAAACACAAAAAACATTTTTAAAAAAACAACAAAAAACTAAATGGTATCACTCATACCACACCATAACTGCCTGTGGATTTATTTCAAAGGTAGAATTGGGGGCTATGCTACCATTCTGTTACCATGGGCATGACAAACATTGTTTACCTGGAACACCTGGCATTTACTTATAATTTCCATTAGTGTGAAAATGCTAAGTAATAGACCAGGGATGTAGCTCAGTAGTAGAGTACTTGCCTAACATGTACAAGGGCTCTGGGTTTGATCAGCAATAAACCAAATAACAATCATCATAACTGATTAACATTGTAATCCTTGACACGAATGATCTTCTATCTACTTATAAATTTGGAACATTATTTTTCCAGGGCCCAGCAATTCAGAGACTTACAAAATGATATAGAAAGACTTCAAAAGTGAATAAATGACGTACATGCTTACATTTTCTTTGCTTGCTTTGTCCAAGAGGCTGGGTTTAAGTACACTTAAAATGTGTTTCTAAAACAAACTCTCTAGTATTGTACTTTGTATTTTTTTAAACTAACTTTCCATTTGGCCTCATAAGCTTTTTTGTAAAACATTTCAAAATTTTTTTCTTTATGTGTTATAGGAATCTCTTGAAAAAAAAAACATTTAAAAGGTGCATTTCAGTGCCGGGTTCACCTGTTTTATTGATGACCAGTAAATGAGTCAGAGGATCCTGTGGAGGTTGTCCTGGTGAGAGGAAGTATATATTTGGAGATAGCTCCCAAGAGTAACTTTTTTGATATAATTCATAGAATAAGTGTTCCAGGAGTTGAGGGAAAAAGCTAATCCCAAAAAGCAATAATCTATGTGGGAAAAAAAAATAAAAGAAAAACTAATCTATAGTAACTTTTTTTAGATTACTAGTTTTGAACAAATAATGGGTATCATCATAGAAATATATTGTACCTATTAAACAAAAAATTTGAATCATGCTTCTTCCTTTTTCCTCTTTTAACACTAGAGGGTTCTTATGTAAGTATCTTTTGTCTTTTCTTCTTCCTAGTTGTTTACTCCTGCCTTGAACATTTCATTTGGTCCTATGAAGCCTGCTTATTATGACTTTGAATCTCTCTCCAGTGCCCATTTTTTAGCTCTATTTCAGTCCCACACTCCTTCCTTTACCTGCACCACTGCAGCCTGGCATATCACCAACACTCTGAACCTTTCTCCCATCTTGTCCAATTTATGCAAATTACATTATTTTTTCATTCACTTGGGATTCAAAGTTCAATTAGTTCTCACTCGTTTTTATCCCTGACATCTCCTTTCAAATGGCTGAAAATTCCTGTCTATAATATCAGCATATTGCTTGCCTCCAAAACATTCTTTTCCCTTCCACTTTTCAAGTTGGGCATTATTGTCTCTTTTTATAATATCCTTGTTATTTTAAATAATTATTTTCATTTTACCCAATGCCTACTATTTCCAAACAATTTTGCAGCATTGTTGATTAATCTTCTTGTATTTTATTCCAATAAAATAAAAATAATACTTTAATAGGTTCTTAAAATCTCTATATACCATATTCTTAAAATAATATTTATTCTGTGTTTCAGTGAACTAGGATTAGTAACAGTTCTTTAGATTTCTCATGTATTCCCATACTCAGTACAACTACCTGTCTGAAATTCTTTCTCTCCTTAGTTCAATGACTTCCATTCTCCTGTTTCAAATTTAAACTCTCTCTCAGGTCTTTCTTCTGTATTTGAAATAATCTCTTTAATACAAAATGTCATAGTTCACAAGATTGTCAATTTTGTATTATACTTATTGAGTGTTTATCTAGCTAATCACTCTTCTGGAAACACTGTTGCTATAGTTTGGAAGTTGAATATCACCAAAAGCTCTGTATGGTAGTGGCTTAGTACCCAGAGTGGCACCATTGGGAGGTAATGAACTGGGGGTTGGGGGGTTCATATGCTGTATCCTTAGGCCACTGAGGTGTATCCTTAAAGGGGATCATGAGACTTCGGTCTCTCCCTCTTTGCTTCCTGGCTCATGATATACATGATGTGTTCCACCATGCTTTCTCACAGTGATGTGGCATCCTCACCAGAGGCCCAAATTATGGGCCCACTTGGTCTTGAACTAGAAGCTCCAGAACTGTGAACAAAAATAAATCTTTTCTCTTTATGAGTTGTCTCAGGTATTTCATTATAGTGATGAAAGGCCAACTAATATGACTTTCACGGCTGGTTTATTTTAATATATGTACAAACATTTGACAATAGATTAGTGTATAAATGTGCTCATAAATATTTTGGATGAATGAGTATCCTCAGTGTAGAGCAAGGCTTAGGGACAAAGGTAGCATTTAGCAATGAGGCCGAAGCTATAGTAATATGTGTGAACCTTGCAGAGGATTCCCAGATGTAGTTGTGATGCTAAAACAGAAATTCACACTCTCAAAACTGTGACATTGAAATTCTATCCCAGTATCCAGCCTGATAACTGCAACATTAACTCTAACCTGAGCTTGTAGCCTGCTAGTCTACTGGTCTGCTTTATGGATTTGAGATGTGCCAGTCCCTACAGCAGTGTAAGCCAATTCTTAAAATAAATAATATACATATCTATCTCTAGCTCTATCTCTCCTATTGGTTGCATTTCTCTAGAAAATGCCGAGAAAATCAGATTTGGGAATCTTGGAGAAAGAGCAAAAGGAGTTTTGGGGATGGGATGTGCTTGTTAAGATTTATTCTAGCTCATTTGAAAGAACAAAACTTGTGTGAAATTAAAAGAACTTCAATGTTCATAGGTTTTAATCATATACGATATAAATAATTGAACTTATTGTTCAAAAGCCCACATACAGTTACTGGAATTTATTTTATCTGAACGTTCTTTTTTATGATTTGTCCTCACATTTATTTTGAGTGCACAGATCAAACAAAGCTGAAATACTCAGACACTCACATGGCCAACAGGCTTTTTCTTTCATTCTTTAACTTCAGAAAGCGAACTTTTGCTATTGCACAGAGCTGCTGCCTCCAGAGTGCCATGCCACCTGCTATTTTCCTTTTTACATGGAGGGACGACAAAACTTGTTCCAGCACAACAAGGCTTGCCATGTCTTTTATCTCATCACTTTGTGATTGTCCCCAACTTGCAATATCTAAAACATAAAATCTGTCATTTTTAAGATGCCATTTTAGTTGTCCTTTACTTAACTTTTCCTACGATCATCTTTTCAACCACAGCTTACTGAGTTAGCACCTTGGGCAAAAATATAAGTAATCATAAGTAATCTAATTCATGACATTATTAAAGCAACTATTAAAGAAGTTGGAGAGGAGCAAAAAATATCGATAGAATAAAAAGAAATCTTGGAGCTAGGGATGCAGTTCAGTGGTAGGGTGCTTGCCTAGCATGACCAAGACCCTGGATGTCAGCTCCAGCACCATGCACCAAAAAAGCTAAGTATAACCACTAAAAAATGTACCAAGCATATGATGTCAAAAAGAGAATAAAGAGGCAAGGAGAGATTATAAATACACTTGAAATATACTTGATCAGTTTTGTAAAAATGACAAACGAAACTAACAATGAAAAGCATAGAGTAAATATGACGACAGTAAACCAAAGTCAAGAAAATGCCTTAACAGCAATCAAACAACAAAAACAGTACTTTCTAAGGAATGACAATCAAACTGACAATAGATCTTTCAATAGCAACAATTAAACTTGAAAACAATTAAACCTGGAATAATAACTTCAAACTATTATGAGAAAAGTAATTCTCACCATAAATTCTAATTTTCTTTTCTCCACATCACTAATATTCAGGTAATATGATATTTCATACTTATTTTCATTCTTATTTTCTTCATGAGGACATAGCGTGATATAATTCTGTATTCAACAGAGATATCTCTTTTCTGCTTTGAGTTTTCCCAAGACCAGTACCAACAAAGGTATATAATTGCACTCTTCAAAGTAGATTTTTCAAGATAAAAATTTGCACATAAAAATAAAATTCAGCACTCTTGCCTCTCTCCCACCCCCTCCTTTCATCTCCCCCTTCACTTCCTCCTTTTTCTTCCTTCCTGTTTCCCTTTTGTTTTTTTACCTGATTCATCAATAGTTGATTTTCCTTCTAACTTCAGGAACACCTCATTCAAAGTTGTCATGGAAACACCATAATTCTCAATGCCTTTGTTAGGACATCTATCAAGATCCCTGTAAAGGTCTAAAAGTAGGCACATAGATCAAAAGAACATAATTTATAATAACATTGATAATAATTATATTTCTCAAAAAACAGATTAGTGATACACTAAATGCATTTTTCATCAGAAACAAAATTGATATAGATGTTCTCTTATTTGTAAAATACATCTATAGTGTGAGTTTCCATGTCCTCTTAAGTATAAAAGCTTAATCTAAAACTTCATTTTCTATTCTTAGAAAGCTACAATTAAAAAAATATTTTATTTAATGTATTTTTAAATTTTTAATTTTGTTAGATTATAGGGAGTGTTTAATTCTAAGCTACAACTAATTAAAGAATATTTTTCAGAGAATAGAAATTCTTCCTTCCCTAACTACTGTTTCTCATCCATTCCTAAAACAATTTTCCCAATAATTATTAACTTTCTTGATGCTATCTTGTGCCTCTAAGTTACACATTTTGGAACCTGAAACGTGTTTGCCTATGTGTTTTAATTTACTCATGAGTGACATGGGGATAATTTTAGGAACTGATAGTAGAAGTGCCTTGGTGTTGGAAATGCTAAATGAGTTAATGCACAGTGCTCTGTACTTAGAAGGCATTAAAACTAACTCTCATTCTTACCAGTACTGTTAGTGCTAGTTACTCTATTCTTAAATAAATCATTCTGTGGTCTCTACATTTTGTTACCTGGAAATTTGTTTGTCCTTTCCAAAGGCAAAATATAAACAAGTTTTTCTTCACTTTGCTCTGTTAATTTGGCATCAGGGATGTGCTGTTTAACCAGTGACGTGACACTCTTTGGATCACACATTTCATTCAGATGCAAACTAACATTTAAAAAGAGTAAGTTAAAATTATTTTTATTTAACACTGTCTCTAAAGACAAATTCTTAGCTATCCATTGCTTATCACTTCACTAATATTTATAAGACTACAATATATAATTTACTGGAAAGGAAAATATGTAATAATAGCAATATAGTCTCATCTTCTTAATCTATTCAACATGGCAGATGAACTAGTGAAATGGTAAATTATAGTCAGATGAACTAACTCAAAGACTATAATTTGGAGTAAAGGGTACTCAGCAAAATCTTGGTTGGGATAAAGTAGAGGATAATGCTTGATTTTGTCTCTATTCAAAAATCCAAACTTGAATTTTCCCTTTGCAGTATTGTACAAGTGCTGCAAGAATTTGTGGACTTGAACATTATAAAGCAAAAATGGAGGTAATTTGTATAGTCATTAAGAGCATGGTTTAAAGGTCATACTAATGTTGGTTCCAGAATTTGGGCAAGTTGTTTAATATGTCTGAGCATTAGTTTTGTCATTGTGAGATGAAATAATGGTCATTTCTCAAAAGACCCTTTAAAAGCAAAATATAACAGTACAGTATGGCTGAGACAGCCCAAGATCTTTTACCAAGTAAACCCTCAAAACTGTTATATAATTTTATCATTTTTATATACATAATTTCTTCAAGTCAAAGTCAGTCTTTTGAAAAGAAGGTATAAAATTCTTTATGAAATTATTGGACTTTGGAAAACCCATTATTAATCATATCCACTGAAATGTACTGATGTGATTGAGTACTGAAAGTATCACAATCGACTGATGACACAGACCTAAAAGTTTCCAAGTAGGAAGAATACAGGACCTTCTGAAAGGAGTTTATAACATAGTGACAACACAAAGAAGCATGTTACAAAAAAGTGAGGGAGTTAGAAGTCCAGCTGACTCAGCTTCCATACTTTGCATCTTGTCAAATACTGACTCATTCACCATTTCTTAGCTTTAGCTATTAATTAGGGCTTATGACTACTGGTTGACAAATGAAGTTTCTGAGGATCAAAGAAGTTAATCAAGTTGGCCAAAGCAACAATTCATATTAGTTTTCTCAAGGTTCCAGAAAAGAAGACGCTCACTAAGAAGAAAACATTCAGCAATAACCTTCAAGAATAGGTAAGATTTAAGGAGCTGGGGATTTAGCTCAGTGGTTCTGCCACCTGCCTTGAAAGTGCAAGGTCCCAAGTTTGATCCCTGGTACCAAAAAAAAAAAAAAAA